GTGGTCCAGGGGCGACAGCAGCCAGCATCACAGCCTGACAGGGCCCCCAAAGATGATTTCATATGCAGCCATAAAGACTGTGGGAAGACTAAGACAGACCAGGTTCTATTTTGTTGGGGCCCCAAGAGCCTGTGATCCGAATAAATGTGGTTGGGGGTATTTTGTAGTGACCCAACCCGTATACTGCCTCTCAGAGAGATGAGCCACTGTCATGGGTACCTTGGGCAGCTGAACATGCTGTTCTTGCCTGCTGTCCTGAAGGTGCACTGTAGACAGCCACAAAGTCACCTAGTAGTCACTGTGCCTCCCCAGCCCTCCATGACTTTCCGGGCTGAGATCTGATAGAGGAGCTATGGGCCCAAATCCCTTTCACCTTACCTGTTGTGCGTGCTGAAGATGATCCACCCACACCCAAATCGGCCCAGAGTATCCCAGACAGAGCCAGTTCACCCAAAGCAATATTGTATCTCTCGAAAGGCACAGATTGGGGTCCAGAAACACTAGAGAGGCTCTTGCACTGTGGGACACCCCAACCTTGCCAGTCACTTTGGAATACACCTTCCTGCCAGTTCAGAGGCGGGGCACAGCTGCCGGTTCAGGATCCTAAAGCCTCTGGCACCCAGTTGTCTCAAATCCCTATACTCTCTTGGGCCTCATCCCTGCTGAAGCTGCTTTCTTTACATATCTGGACTTCAGAGATGCCTTTTTCTACATCTGCCTGGCCCCACAAAGCCAGCCAATCTTCACCTTCCAGTGGAAAAGTCCAGAAAATGATGACAGAGGCCAGCTGACTTGAACCAGGTTGCACTAGGAGCTCAGAAATTCCCTAACCATTTTTGGTGTGGTGCTGGCCACTGATCTGAGAGCCTTTCCTGTGGATCAGCACAGCTGTGTCCTGTTCCCGGATGTGGTGACTTGCTGCTGGCTGGAAGGTCTCAGGAGGATGACGTTAGAGGAGCTTGACAGCTCCTCACTCTCCTGTGGGAGGCTGGGTACAAGGTCTCCAGGAAACAGGGCCCAGATTCACCAGGAGAAAGTCCATTACCTCATTTTCCATTGGTTGCAGAGACAGGATTGATTTGAATCAGGGAAAGCAGGTAGTTTCCTCAGTCCCAGTACTGACAAGCTGCCGCCAGGTCCGGGAGTTCCTTGCAGCCACAGGTTTTTATAGAGTTTGGGTACCTACCTTTGGGATCTTGGCAAAACCCCTTGTAAAGTCAGCCAGTGGGGAGAACAAGAACCCCTAATGTGGGAACAAGTACAGCAAACAGCTCTCAAAGAGATCAAAGAGGCCTGGGACTTCCAGACGTGGCTAAGTCCTTCTTGGACATCAGCGAGCATATCGGCTAGGCAGTGAGTGTTTTAACCCGGATGTGGGGGTCATGGCATCTGCCAGCGGTATACCTCTGCAAACAGCTGGACTCTGTCACTCAGGGCTGGCCACCATCCTGCCTATAGTACTAGCCACTATGGCCCTTTGGGTGGCAGAGGCTGACAAACTGGGACAAGACTTGACGGTCTAAGGATCACATTCAGTGTTGACATTAAGGGAGTATAAAGGTCAATGCCGGTTAAGGTCAGGGTGGTTAGGTACAGTACCAGAGGATGCTATGTGCACATCCGCACAGATACCTGGGAGTGGTGTGGCACCCCTGCTGCTGTCAGATCGGGCCAGTCAGAGCGTGACTGCAACTGACCAGATTGGAGGGCCCTGCCCCCAAGCTGCCCAACACAGCACATTTCACTGGCAGTGGCAGTGTCATAACAGAGGGAGAATACCTTGCAAGATGTTCGCGGTAACCCCAAGCTTGGTCATTGAGGCCTAGTCTCTGCCAAAATGGGCCTTGGCACAAAAGGCAGAGCTTACCACACTAACCCACAGCCTCCAACTGGTGTAAATGTATACACAGAAGCCAGGTATGGTGGTGCGTGCCTGTAATCTCAGTACTCTGGAGGCTAAGGCAGGAGGATCACTGTGAGTTCAAGGCCAGCCTGGGATACATAGAAAGTTCAGGACCAACCTGAGCTGCAAAGCGAGACCCTGTTTCAAAAACATTCTCCCTCTCCTCCAGAAAGAGAAAAGCTCCAAATATACCTCCATGTATGGGGACCTCTATATAAAGAAAAGGGTCTAATAAACTCCAGAGAAAACATGAAACATGGTAGAGAAATCCTTGAACTCCTACATGTTGTATGGCCCCTTACAAGAGTGGCAGTCATGTCCTGTCAGGGACACCAGTAGGAAGACACCATGGCCACTCAGAGAAACCAGAAAGCCAACTGGAGAGCAAAGCTGACAGTTTCCAGGGGAAAGACAAGCCGTGGCTGCAGCTGCCACGTTTCCTTGGCCCCTGGCAGAATGGCATCCTATTGACAGCAGGGACTTGGCTTCAGATCGAAAATAAATGCTACCTCCCACGTGGCTGGTGAAAATTTGAAGGTGACAGGGTTGCATTCCCCAAGGCACTAACTCCAGCTTTGGTCAGAAAGTTGCCTCAGGACACCCCCACAGGCTGGGTGACTCTCCAGCAGGCCTGAGTGGTGTGCAATATCCCATGGCGAGGGCCCCAGGCCACTGTGGCCTGCACAGTATCGGGAGCCCCATTTAAAGATTCGGTTATGAACTCCGCTGAACTTCCCGAGGCCATGGCTGCACATGCTCATTAGTCTGTGTGCACCGTCTCAGCAAGGGTAGAGGCCTTCCCCACCATACCGAGAAGGGGTCCAAGGTGGCCGATTCGGCTGGAGAGGAGTCATTTCCTGTTTGGAAAGCCACAGACAGCGAGCAGACCAGCATTCCTCTTGGAGGTCGTGCAGCTGGTGACCACAGGACTAAAAGTTAGAGACTGCATGCAGCATGCTGTCCCCAGAGCACAAGGAAAATGGCACAAGTGAGCCAGACTGCAGAGCCACAGTCGAGTGGGCTGTGGAGAAATTCCCTGCACGGGACCAGCTGTAGCCCTGCTGAGGACTGGGTCTGGTCTCACCACCAGACGAACTGGGCTGTCCTCCTGTGTAATTCTCTAGGCACGCTGCTTTACTGAGGGAATAAAGGGGGATGTCATTCCTCACTTGCGGTAAGAGTCAGGTGTAGGCTTAGCCTTAGCCACTCTATACTAGCAAGTTAAAGAACAAATGCTCTTGGCTTTGACCTCAGATGCTCACTCTTTTAAAAGAGGAGATGCCTTGGGCATGGTGGTGCACTCATAAAAGAGGAGGTGCAGTGCAGGTAAAAAACAGTCCAATCCCTGAAACCCCTTTGGAGGGTCCCATTCTCTATCATCCTAGCACAGTCAAGGTGGCCAAGCAGCCCCTACATTCATCTCCGGGATATGGCTTCTCAGGACCACAGTTGTTAGAATTGCCGAGCCTGATGGAAAAAATGGCTCACTGTCCCCGTCAGAAGCCTACCATGCATAAGTCAAAGATTGAATAATTTAACCACCTGGAAAACTCAGGAACAGGGTCCCCAAAGGATCCTGAGCCAGGCCCCCACTCCTTGTCTCACTTCTCCCATTGCTGAGAGGCTTGGACAGCATTGGCACAGCCTCTGGGTATGCGGAAGGATGGCCCGCACTACACCTCAGCCGGCCAGGAGCAGTCCACCTTTTCCCTGCCCACTGTGTCCAGAGAGAACTTCCAGGTATCCAGGTACATGGAGACAGAGAAACTAAGCGAAAACTGCAGGTCCTACATATTGGTAACTAAAAGGACTCTGAATGGCCCCAGAGCACATGATCCAATATTACAGCCCTGCCATGGGTAGAAGCTGGGTCTTAGGGCTACCACACCCCCATTTATGTGCTGAACCACTTATCTACTACCACCAGTTGTAGAAATTATAGCTAATGAAACTGCCAAAGCCTTTAACTTGTTAACAAAACAGCTCGCCAAAATGTGCAATGCTACCTCTCAAAACCATCTTGCTTGCCTCAGAGGAGTTGGTGAAAAGTTTAGAGCAGTGGCTGCCTACAGATAGGTGATGAGAAAAACATCACAGAAGAGATTGCAGATCTGATACAGAATAAAAAATTGCTCATGTCCTGACAGACCTAGAATGCCTGGAACCCGGGAACACTTCCGGAGAGTCAAAAGCCTGGTTTGTAAGTGTTGTGCTCCGTAAGAGCTTGTCTGCTCCTACCTTCCTAGCTCCCCTGGTCACACACTCTGTCCCCAGCCTTTTTGAGGCATTGGTCAAAAGAAAAATGGCCACACATGAGAGATGCTGTAAAAATACAAACGTGTAGATCTAGATGATGCTCTTTGACCCAAAATAAGGCAGTCTGAGCATCAACGGAGGGACTGTGGCAGGCACCTTCTCAGAACCAAGAAAGGCACCGTGGCACAATTAGTTCCCAGATAGGACTGTGTCCTAGGACAGCTCAGTGACACAGATTGTACCCAGCCAAGCTGTTACAGGTCTGTATGTTACCATTTAAAAGAGGCAAAGACACAAAAATTGTGTAAAAAGCAAAACACCACCATGATGGGGGCTCCGCGAACCCCTGAGCCCCAGCTGGCACAAAAACTGAGAATCCTGCTACCTTTTAATCAGCAGGGGTGGCAGCAAGGCAAAGGAAGGAACCAGATCTGAAGTTTACAAAGAACTCACTGATTAAAGCTGGATGTGGTGGAGCACCCCTGTAATCCCAGCACTGGGGAGGCTGAGGCAAGAGAATCATTGGCAAGTTCAAGACCAGCCCGGGCTACAAAGTGAGCCCAAGGCCAGCCTGAACTGTGTAGCAAGACCCTGTCTCAAAAAGAAAAAATTCACTGGTGTATTATGAAATGTAAAAAATGAATGAGTAGAGATGGTCATAAAATATACTTCCAAACTAGAAATGATCCAGGTTTGAGCATAAATGATGACCAAGAGAAGACGCTTGGCTTTTTCTGGCCCATCCATCTTAGTCCTTGTCACATAGTAATCTTTTCTTTTCCTCTCCTAATTGGAAAGTGGACAACACATAGCTAATGATTTTTCTCCTCCCCCCCTTTAGATACATCCAGAAAGTGCCCAGAAGCTTCCTGTCAGAAAAATTGAAAAAACAGTATTTATAACATTGCTGGAATTTGTGGACGATTTGTTTAAGATGGCAGAAAGCAATGAAAATAGTAATAAAAATGTAGATGTGAGGCCCAAAACCAGCCGGAGCAGAAGCGCAGACCGGAAGGACGGCTACGTGTGGAGCGGCAAGAAGCTGTCCTGGTCCAGGAAGGGCGAGAGCTGCTCCGATGGGGCACCAGAAGGGACCGGGACCAGCACCGGGGCTGCGACGGGGACAGGGACCGAGCGGCCGCTGCGGGACAGGAAGCACAGCTGCTCCTCCCTGGAGCTGGACCTGGACCACTCCTGCGGGCACCGCTTCCTCGGCCGGTCTCTGAAGCAGAAGCTGCAGGACGCCGTGGGCCAGTGCTTTCCCATCAAAAACTGCAGCAGCCGCCACTCACCTGGGCTTCCGGCCAGAAGGAAAATCCACATCAGCGAGCTCATGCTGGACAAGTGCCCCTTCCCGCCGCGGTCGGACCTGGCCTTCAGGTGGCACTTCATCAAGCAGCACACCGCACCCCTGAGCCCCAAGCTGGACGAGTGGGGAGGCGCAGACCACGCGGCGCGCGAGCCTGGAGACAGGCTGCCGCAGCCCACCAGGGCCATGGCTGAGGCTGCCCGCGGCTGCCCGCAGCCCGGTGTCCCAAACCTCTGCGCCACACCCGGCTCCATGAGCAACCTGGCGTCCAGCAACAGCGTAGAGGACAGCGACATGGACTCCGACGAGGACATGGTCACGCTTTGCACGAGCTCCAGGAAGAGGAACAAGCCGAAGTGGGACGCAGACGAGGAGCTGCTGCAGCTGGAGTCACCCCCGAAGTACCACACCCAGGTGGACTATGTGCACTGCCTGGTGCCCGACTTGCTGCGCATCAACAACAACCCCTGCTACTGGGGCGTCATGGACAAGTATGCAGCTGAGGCCTTGCTGGAGGGCAAGCCCGAGGGCACCTTCCTGCTGCGGGACTCGGCGCAGGAGGACTACCTGTTCTCCGTCAGCTTCCGGCGCTACAGCCGCTCGCTGCACGCCAGGATCGAGCAGTGGAACCATAACTTCAGCTTCGATGCGCACGACCCCTGCGTCTTCCACTCCCCCGACATCACCGGGCTGCTGGAGCACTACAAGGACCCCAGCGCCTGTATGTTCTTCGAGCCCCTCCTGTCCACGCCCCTCATTCGGACTTTCCCCTTCTCCCTGCAGCACATCTGCAGGACAGTCATCTGCAACTGCACAACCTACGACGGCATCGACGCGCTCCCCATCCCTGCGCCTATGAAGCTGTACCTGAAGGAGTATCACTACAAGTCCAAGGTCAGAGTCCTCCGCCTGGACGCGCCAGAGCAGTGTTAGGGCAGGGCCAGGATGACTGCTGGCCTCGGTCTCATTCAGTGTTGTATTTTTACTCTGCCTCTTTCTACAAAGGCAATGGGGTAGGAAAGAAACCTCTGCCCTACATTTCCAAGTCAGTTTATTTTTCTTCTACTAATTATGTAATGTTATAGCCAAGAGGTTAGTAGATACTTTTAACCAGATGTTTGGTTTTTGTTTTTGCAATGTAGTTGTATACTTAAACTTTTTTCTTTACCTAATTTATGTATGGTCTGGGCATATTTGAAATTTGATAGGCATTGCAGATATATTTGAATATCCTTATATTACCGTTTTAAAATAGTTATATTTTTTGTTACATGTAAAGTATTTCATTAATCTATAACCATCAGTATTCCTAGACATAAAATAGTCTTTTCCCAGCCCCTTTCATTGAGTTTTGAAATTCTTTAGTCAAGTGTTAAAATTCATCCATAATAATGTAATTCAGTTTTTTAACTTGCTAGCAGGGATGTTAAAAGTAACAAAATGATTTCAAGTCAACTTTTTTGTAGGATGTTTTCTTTCCTTTTGTTTTGTTTTGTTTAGACAGGGTCTCCCTATGTAGGTCAGGCTGGCCTTGAACTCATAGCAATCTCCTGCCCCAGCCTCCTGAGTGCTAGGATTACACATCCCTGCCAAGATCACTAAATTTTTGATAATCTGGCCAATGAGAATATGACTTTCTGGAAATGCATTTATCCCACTGTGCAGGGTCTTTTATTACATAGCTCAGTACTTGCCTCTCAGCCTTTAAGCCATCTTTAAAACATAAATTTTATTTCTTTCTCACCAAGAACTTTAATGGTAACACTATTAGTAGCTAGTAGTTGCTACAGCAGCTGGGTTTTCTGTATTAATCTATGAACTATTGCTCTTGTATTAGGCCTTTTATACAAACCCAGAGCCTGCGCAAACTGCAGTTGATAAATAGACACAAATTTTTACTGATAACCAAAGAGGACCTAACTAGTGTTTAATTATTTTAGGTTTGATTTGAATAAAGGTTCAAGAAATAAACATGGAGCTCACTATTGAGAAAGCTTAATATTTTTTCAAACATTTTTTCCTGTTTTCAGAATTAATGTATGTCTTTAATGTGGCTTCAAAATAGAAGAGCATTTTGACAGCCACATGGCTTATGTCATACCCAACAGTAGGACAGAAGTAATAATATTTCGTAGAACAGGGCAGCACTCAGAAACGTCATTGGTCTCTGATAAGTAGACCCTGTCTCTTCTAAAAGAGTCAATGACTAGTGTAAACAGATTGCCTGAGCTTTCTCCCGGTAAGCTGTCTGCCCCTTTGTACAAGTTGGCATTTTTAACTCAGTTATTTCTTTATGATGGTGTAGCTAGATTAGGAAACTTTCTTCCACCTGGGTTGGAAGAACTTGACTCAACCTTTGCAAGTTAGGACAAATGCTGTTTATCTGTGTTGAAACAGCATTTCCCTGACCTGTAATTCTGCCGAAGTTTGCAGCAGTCACAAAATGAAACCAGAAAGTCTTCATCACCATTATCCTGTAGCCTTTGTGTTCTCAGTGGTCTCTGGGCGAGCATGGGCTCAGCCTCCAAGGGGAGCAGTGCCCAAAGCGGCACCTGTTCTTATGGTGAGGGGCTCAGCACATTGCGACACCAATGCCAGGGTGGGTGTCACTTCTACGGGTGACACAGACCTTCCCCACAGGCAGAAAAGTCTCACTACCTCATCTTACTATGGCGCTTTTGTCGATCACTGAGAATCTTCTCTTATTAACCAGTATCAAGCTTCCTAAATATCCATCTTTGGTGAAAGACAATTAATAGTGTGGTAAGACTCTACCCAAAATTATAGTTTTTTTTATCAGAATTTGATAAGACTTTCTGTTTCCGTGAAACAATTATTTTAAACACTTTTCTTTAAAAAAATAACTTTTTATCAGTACAGAAAAACCTAGGGGATGACTAGCTTATGAAAATTGTGTTAAAGGATAGTTTTTTAAAAGAAAATGAAATATAATTATGTTGTCTTTTATAGTGGTAAAATGTTTATATGAACATTTATCTTTTCATATAATTCAAACTGATTGCTTGTGATATATTTTCTCTTTTTAATTTTTTTCAATTCAAGTTATTAACAACTGTTAACATTTTTAAAATACTGCCAGATGCAGTATTTTAATGAGAATGGGGAAGACTCATTTACTCTGGAATGGTTTGTATTTTTCCTTTGGTACTTGCTAAGAAATTTGGAAAGTAGAAATATAAAGACCTGAGAAGGGAGTAACTTATCCTGAAGGAAAGGGAGGAGTTAGTTTTTAATCAGCATTTAAGGATCAGAATTTAGAAAGGCTACATACCCCCTTTCTGGTTTTGTGTGTGAGTATAGCATTTGCAAGACATGGGTCTTTAAAACCTAGCTTATAAGAAATGCTTAAAATATATTTCTTGTACTATATAATGAAAGTGAGGAAGTTTCAAGAAGAAAAATGTGATAAATGTGTTTGAAAAGCAGCATTCCAGAGCTGAGCGGGCACTGAGCTCTCTGGAAATGTGTAGCGCCTCTGATGAGATGGGCTGGTGCTACACAGCCAGATAAAATCCTCAGCTCCACCGAAGCGGCTCCAAGTGGGGAGCCTTGGAGCTGCTGTCTGGCTGACCGAGTCTGGCCCACACACCCAGCTCCCCCTGTGGCACATCAGGAAAGAAGCTGGGCTTCACTAGTTTTTCTAAAGCTTTTCAAGACGTACCCCATCCCCCCTATTCTAATTCAAAAAACACTTGTGGTTCAAACTGTAATTCCTGAAATTGCTGAACTAGATTTTCTTTTAGATTCCCTGAACGTTTTATATTGAGTCATGTGTTCTTTCTATAACTGTGCCATTCACCTAAATAATTCATAAAAAGAATGGTTTAATTTAAAGGAAGACCTAATAGGAAGATGAAAGGAAGCTTTTAGTCAGCCTGAGGCTAGATTTATTGATTTGGTGATCAGACCTAGGTACTTTCCTGAATTTCCGCTAATGGCCAACTGTGGTCAAAGAATGGCTTTTCAGTGAAAGTTCTGATTTCTTGTTATAAATTATATAAAGAGTGTTGTAGTAATTAGGACTCCTTTAAAAAGTAAAACAAATGTGGCAAATAGGACTTACATCATTGTACAAATTACATTTCTTTTTAGAAGAAAAACACATAAACCTTTATCATTTATTCATGAGCCAAAGCTATTAAGATAAATCAGGTTATCAACTTCCTGTCTCTGAAGTTTGGACCATTTTATAGATCCATGTAATGGAGCACTTCCTTCCTATGAAACACAAACCTTGACATCTAACTCTTACACTTTTTAATTTAAAGTATTCCTTGTCATTTTAGCTAGAACCAGAATCCAGTGAGTAGCTTATATGCTGATCTGGGTGGAACAGCTTTCACAGGAAGGCACACATAACTCCAGTGATCACTCAGTGTTTCAATGTAAAATAGCCTGTGTAAGGTTAGATAATTTAATGCTCAAGTGAATAATAAAAGATTTTAGGGCGAGGAGTCCTTATGTTTCTACTTTGGGAAGAAATGTTTTTGTTTTACACTTGGTCTTAGCCAAAAGGCAGAGAAATGGATGCTAATTTTGTTTTAACATAAGCAGTTTCCATTTTTATTTCTAAAGAATGAACAGAAAGCACAAAGGACTTTTCTTAATGGTCTACTACCAAGTCTGTCTATAGGATTCTAATATATTAAGATAGGGAACACAAACTGGCCTGTAGGTACAAAGACAGATGAATGATTATAATCTAAGAGAATGGAGTTTAGGATACATGAAATCTGTCTCAAGACTAAAGCATATTTATAATTTACTTTTGAATTTTAAATATTAATCCTAAATCTTCCTTTACCCTCAAACTATAAAAATACAGTTTTAATACCTGTCGCTTGACTTCGGCAGGTTCATTCTTCATGAAGGAATGACCCTTGGAACATACTTGAAAATAATTGCTGTACAACCAGTACAAGCAACTTAGTACTTGCTGTCAAGTACTAAGCCACAGTTTTCAGACTTGCCCGTTAGACTAGGCTGCTTGCTAGATCTGACAGTGGACATAACAGCACAGTTTCAGTCTGGCCTAGATTCTGCAGTTAGTTGAGCATTTGTGATTGTCTTCTGCCCTTTATAAGACCCGTGGAAAACTGATATTTGCCTAACCTATTTTAAAAGTTGATTGCATTTGCAGGAAATGAAGAGAATCCGTTTGCCATGTTTATAATCAAATCTAAGCTTTCAGACTTGAGAGCCATGGTGTAAAACTCAAGGAAGTTTACTCAAGTTACTTTGCTAGAATCGGATAAATTTTCCATAAGCCAAGTATAAACAACATATACTTGAATATACAGAGTTTAAGTAGCAAATTTGAACAGCGTTTATTTTTGTCAGACTAGTGTGATCTACCCCTTCCCAAAAGTAGTAGCTGATTTCCTCTCTTATTTCTTCATGGATGTAAGTTTAAATAATTTGAATAAATTTTCACTTAATTAAATCTTCATGTATGAAATCCAAAGTCTGTGTTTTGTTTTAAAAACATATCCTTACGTCATACATTGCACTTAGAATCCGAAAGGGAGAAACTGAAATGCCTGTATTACACACCACCAATTTTCAACACTTTTGTTTCTGATATATCACCTAGGGTCTTCAGAAGCAAAGGCTTTTGTTTCCAATATATCACCTAGGGTCTTCAGAAGCAGAGGCTGAGCACAAGATGAAGAAGGGATAGAGGCAGAAAGTAGGCTGGGAAAATGCAAGGCGGGCAGGACATGGCTACCAAGCCAGGGTGACCTGTAGACAGGCCAGTGGGATAGGATGCCTACCATGCCCATTACTGTGGGCCAGACACGGGGACAGCCCACTACCCATCACTGCGACACCTAGGGCCAGGTCATGGAGGTGGGCGGTCCCGATGGACACAATGTTTATGACCAAAGATTAGAGAAGATATTTAATGCAATGTTTAAAATCAGAACAAAAAAATTCTTATGAATAAGATATTAAAATTTTAAATCCAGCCAGAGCTTGTTATTGATTTTTCCTGTTGCTTCAGGCTCCAGTGACTCAAGACACTGCTGATGGCCTCCTGCAAGCCATGGGTGGGTCTCCCACATCATGGGTATTTTCCACAGCTCTGTTTCCCTGCAGAAAGGCTTGCACACTCCCCGTTCCTCTGTTGCTCCTCCCAGTGAGAGCGCTGTGCATCCCAGGAGGCAGAGGTGCACTCGGTGTTTCTTTGATTCATAGTCAAAGGTCCATCCCCTGACTGCTAACGGCTTACGTGTGTATATCATGTACATTAAAACGCGTAATAATGGCTGGGGATTTAGCTCAGTTGCAGAAGCACCTGCCTGGCAAGTTCGAGATCCTGAGTTTGATCCCTGGTACCAAAAATAAATTTTTTTAATTTTAAAAAATGTATATTGTGTGTATATTAGGCCATAGGATTTTGTTTTCTGAGACAATAGCAGTTCAGGCCAGTCTTAAACCCACAGCGGTGGTCCTGCCTCAGCCTCCCCAAGTGCTGGGCTTATGGCATATGCTACCACATCCGGATTAGGCTGTATAACTTTGACATCATCAGTTACTAGCTAGCAGTACCTTGAGAGCTGGGGTCATGTGTCAACAATTATCCTGGCCTAGGGGCTGGGGATTTAGCTCAGCAGCATAAGCACCTGCCTTGCAAGCAGGCGGTCGTGAGTTTGATCCCCGGTACCGATAAAAATGAAAAAGACAAAAAACAAAAACAAAAAAACCCAATTATCCTGGCCTGACATGGTAGATGTGAGCTGGGGCTGCTCAGCCCACGCGGGATCCTGGGTTCGAGCTTCAGTAGATAAGGAAACACCCTAACGAGCTGCAGACCCGCCTTAGCCTGGGCACTTAAGTAATCCAGGGAGAGCCTATCACAGAAAAAGGCTGCGTTCCTGCAAACGTCTTTCCATTCCCGCACTGACTTTCTAGGTCCGCTCAGTTTTGCCTCAGCGCCTGGGTTTCGCATCCAAACTGGCCCAGCTCGGGGGCTTGGCAGTAAAAGCCGCAGGCAGAGGGAATCTAGAACGTGCCCCCTGAAGCCAGCAAGTGAGCAGTGTCACCAGACAGCCGGGGACGCCTTCGGCAGCCGCTAGGGTGTCCTCCACACCGGCCCGACTCCGAGAGCCTCTGGAAGTTTTCGGCCGCCGCGGGGGCGCAGTCCCGCAGGGATCCAGCTGGGGGCACGCAAGCATAGCCTTCGGAGGGCGAGTACCGCCCAGAAGAGGCGGGGCTTAGCGCCCAGCACTTCCGGTTCCGGCGCCAGGAGGAGGGCGCGCTGCTTGTGCCGCGCTCCCGTCAGTCAGGCTGCGCCCGCCGCTCACGCATCCATCTGCCTGGGGCTCGTCGCCGTCGCTGCGCTCGGATCTTGCCAGGTGAGGCCGCCGCTGTGCTGAGGGGTATCCAGGGCTGGGCACGGGTGCGTGGGGTCGGCCGATCGGGGGCAGCGACGCGGGCGAGGCTCCGGGACTCAGGCGAGCGCGGGCCGTGAGCTCCCGGGGGCCGGGCCGCTGCTGCCGTCGTCTTCCCGCGCTACTGCCCCGGCTCGCCCTGGAGGGGACTGAGGCGTCGAGGACGCTGACGTCAGGCGGGCGGCCCCTCCCCCACGCCGGCGCCCGACCCGCTCTGAGGCCGGTTCGCTCCGGCCGATTCCCGACGCCTTTGTTCCAGGGGCGCCTCCGCCCGCATCTCCGGGCCCCGCCGCTACCGCCCCATTCATTAATTTCTCACAGGAGGAGAGAAGATCCCAGATCGATCCTTATGAGACGGCGCTGCAGGTCACGGGCTCGTGACAGCTAGAAAAGCTGCTCATCGAGGCGGTGGGTGCCTGCTCGGTCTCCGATCTTCTTTCAGGACCGAGCGGGGACCTCCAGACCGCCGAACCCTGTCCTACAGTAGTGCTTTTAACAGGATTCTTCCAGTGTGGCAGTATCAAACCAGGTTCCACTGAAAAAAAACATGCAGTAGTGCATCCCACTACTAGAAAAATACACACTTGGACAGCTGATGGTGATAAAGGTTTTGATTTCTCGAGTTCTGACTACAGGCTTAGGTGTAGAAACGGCTCGTGAGTTCTTTGTTCAGCAGTACTACTGAACGGGAGCGGGGAAAAATAGAAATTTCGGTTGTTGCTCATATCTCTTTGAGTCCACTGTTCAACACTGATTTGCTCCAGAAACGGTTTTGAGTTGCGCGTGTTGGAAAGTTCTTTTCCATTTTCCAGGAGGAATAGGTCTCTCTGTAGTTGAGAAAGATTTCAATAGACATCCTCCTGCCTCAGCCTCCCGAGTGCTGGGATTACAGGCAGGCATTATCGCGCCAGGCCAGGAATTTGTATTTTATGTAAGGGATAGGTGGCAGCTCCAGAGTTTGGGTTTCGGCCTGTAACTCGGGAAGAGTCTGGCACGGGTGAGGAAGGCCCTAACGTCCTGTCCTCAGTACCTAGGAAAGAGAAAACTCTGCAGCCATAGATTTGTATATTATCTCTAAGTGGGGATTGATAAAAACAATAAATAGCTTCAGGTCAGATTTTGCCACCAGAATTGTGTGCCAAATTTGGGAAAGTTTCTTTTGAGGGGCTTCTGAATTGAAATGGCAGATGGATCCATTACAGAGGTTGTGAAATGTGTTTGTTACTCAAAGCCACGCTGTGATTTGAGAGTTGTTTAAGCAAATCTGGGAGGTGCATTCTACTGGTCTTTACCTTTTGAGCCTTGGAGAGTCAGGCTGGTCCTGAGTCTAGCCAGCCAGTAAGGAGCTGCAGTTTTACCTAGCCAGTCTGAGCTGAATTTTATATGCCCATATACAAAAGAAGAGAGGAGAATTCAGTATTTGTTGCCTGCCCACTCATCTCCAAGCACTATATGAAGAGCTCGATGGAGTAGAGGTTCCCTTGGGTCCGCATTCAACATTACTGGCTCTTTATATGTCACTGAAGAAATTCACCAGCTAGGCTGTTAAGCCAAGTGATTCCAATCTTTTGGGTTTCTCTGATAAAATGTTACTATCACTTTCTTTTCTCTGCATTTTCCAACTGCTTATGCTTCCCCACTGCTAGGCAGACCTCCCTCCCAGCTTCTCCAAAGTTGTCCTTGTCCCGCCAGCTGCTCCCTGGTTTTGTTTCCTAGATCAGAGACACCATCTCTCAGGAATGTCCCTCCCATCTTGCTAGTGTCCCGTAGCCCAGCACTGCCTGGCACATGTGCTCCAGTGATTGTCTCAGTAAATGTTAAAGGTGTTACTGAGGATTTTAAATTTCTGAAACTTTGTGTCCCAGTTTCTTCAGTTAACTCAGTATTACAAAAAAACAGAATGTCCTCTGATATAGGAGCCAATACTAACTCTTGCCTGTTTCTGACGGAGAATTTGTCTTCCATAGGTACCATCCTCGTCCCCTTTACTAAGCAAATCACAAATGTCCAGGCTGTCTTAGTTTCTCTTAACAGATGTGTGTCTGGCACTTTACTGTTTGCTTATTAGTTCTCTGTGAGGTAGCAAGAGTTTATAACTGGCCGATTCCTGGAGTCCTGGAGCGGCATCTGTGGTTACTGACACACAGGGAGCCCAGCTCTCATACGTTCCCTGCGGCACTGTGTCCTCCTGCCTCTGAAGGCCATAGGAATTACTGAGACACCGTTGTGTAGTGTAGGTCAAAAATTTTGTCCTCTGGCTTAAAATTGTTATTCTTAGCTGTGCTTAGCAGTGATGCCTCTGATCCTGGCCCTCTGGGAAGTTGATAGCCAGACAGCCAAGTGGCTTATTTTAGCAAGGCCCTCTCTGTCTGTCTCAGAATTGGCCCGAATACACTCACCAATACCAGTAATTAAAAATAACTATTCTTGGGACTCGGGGACTAGCTCAGCAGCACAGTGCCTGAGGTCATGAGTTCCATCCTCATACCAAAAAAAAAAAAAAATTCTTGCAGCTCAGAAAATTAATTTTTCTGGATGATAAATAGAATGTACCATAAAGCTATAATGGAAAGTTTTGCAAATAGTTCTTGAATGTTGAAAAAAATGGAAACACTTTTTGATTATAAAAGCTTTGGACAAGTGTATCAAGATTTTTTTTTTTTTGTCTTTTTCCTTTTTATCGGTACCAGGGATTGAATTCACGACTGCCTGTTTGCAAGACAGGCGCTTATGTCGCTGAGCTAAATCCCCAGCCCAAGTTTTGAACAAGTTAAGGGTTACCTTGGCCTCATCTTATTAATTAGCATACTTTTGAAATGTTTTGAAAAAGGTTTTTAAGCAGCCTAGATGTCTCTGCATTCATTTTGCAACTTGGCTCTTGAAGCACTGGTGATTAACCTTTTTCAGATGCACTAACAGCCAAGTGGAATGGTTTATCTTCCACCCTTTTTGAAGTTAAAACTTTTAAGAGCAGAGTAATGAATCAGATGAATATGTAGAATTATTTCCAAATCTCCTGACTTAACTGAATATCATGTATATGTTTTTTAAGCGCCTCGAGGGAGCAGAGTAATTCTGAAAACTGAGCGGGCAGGCCACATGAAAGTGCCTGGGTCGCTGATAGAATGCTCTGGAATTAATGGGAACTTTGGTACAGAACAGTTTTCTGTTTCAGAGAGGCTTGCCCTGTGTGACAAATACAGTCAGTCATCCCATGGACTTTAAAACTGACCATGCATCGGTAGTTTCTTCTAGCATTAATCCTTTTTCATAAAATTTTTTAAAACATTTATTAGTGTGTTTGCAATACATAATGGTTACATTCATCTCAGGGAGTCGGTATACATACATAACACACCTTAATTTAGCATGTATTAAGAGTACCACTGAAGCCTCAATATTGGAATGAAGAGGTAATTATATCACCTGTGCATTTAAGATGTGCTTTTATAGTTTGAATAAGAAGCAAGGATATAGCAGGAGTGACCTAGGGTTTATGTTCTTTTCCTATGTTATTCCTCTTTTTTTTTTTTTTTTTTTTTTTTGTGGTACTAGGAATCCAAGCTCATAACCTTGCATTTGCCAGGCAGGTGCTGTGCCACTGAGCTATGTCCCTGGCCCTATTCCTCTTAATAAAACATAGCTGTAAATTAAATGTTTAAGTAGTCAAAGATGGCTCAGTTCACTAAGTCAAAAGAAAAACTGAGGTTGCCTCACTAGATACTGAAAGTTTCTGTTTCTGTTTTTGTTTTTTTGGTAGAGTCTCGCTTTGAAATGTAGGCTGCCCTGGAACTCCCTACTAGCCCAGACTGGCCTCAGACTCACTGTCAGCCCTTCTGTCTTAGCCTCCCAAGTGCTGGAATACTTACTTACAATATAAGAGACCGGGATGAAACAGAGGTGCCACAGTGCAGAGGGGTTTGAAGGATGCAGCCCACAGTCGCAGTAACTGGTGTGTGGCTAGGTGCGAACCCCTGCCCCGCCTGTCACTCCTAAGACTGCAGGCCCAGTAACTTACTTCACTTCCCTTTCTCCAGCTGCAAAACCTGGTGAGAACCGAACTTGCATCATGGGAAACACGCAATATGATTTAAATAGTGCAAACGTAAATATGCTACAAGAAAACAAAGCAGTGTTTTAGAAAATCTTGGCATGGCGAAGCCTACATCACAAAATCCAGAAGCATCATGTAGGGAAAATTAATAAGTTGCACAAAATTTAAACCTCTTAGTACCAAAAAAGACCCTCTAAGAACTGTAACAGTTTAAAAGGGGAATTTGGGAAGATAAGTTTTGACCAATAATAGGGTGGTTCCTTGGTGTCTTCCAAAGCAGTGAAGGGCAGAAGTGAGCACTGCGGAGTAGTGAGCAAGGGCCGAAGAGCAGCTGCTGTCTCCCTCTTGTGTAAATGTCAAAGGACTCACCAACTGATGCTGGATAGTGAGTGGAGAGGGCAGCAGTAAACGTTCAGGAGCAAGGAAAATGGGTGCCTTGCAGGAGCTTGGGGATGGGCGCCACTGTCAGACAGAAAGACCGCTGCACTTCGTTGCTCCTCTGCTTTAACATAAAGATCCACAAGGGTTACTCTTGCCTGAGAAGCCTAGAGTGTAAGGAAGGAGCAGTCGAGGAGGGAGGGCCCTAGGTAAAGAGGGAGAGAGCAGGGTGGGAGGGAGTAAACATGATGGCGATGCCACATGTGCATGTCCTGTTCCTCAGAGAATGCCCAGGGGTTCCTAAGCATGTACCTGAAATTGACAGGCCTGGCCCTGCAGCCCAGTGGTTGGTGCTGCCCAAAGCCCAGGATTCGGTTGCCAGCGCCAAAATAAACAAAACCTGTGAAAGGTAGTTCAGGGATGTCAGCAGATACACAGGAGAAGGATGAAAATGTGAGTGTAAACTGGCCTGGGCTTCTCAGGTGGATTTTAGGTTAGCTCGTGGCCTTGGAATTCCACTTCCAGGCCCTTTTCCAGAAAAAGAGAAGTATTCAGAGATGTTTGTGCTACACTGCTTAAAACAACCTATACTGTTCCCAAAACCCCTGTAGAATAAAGTCTACATCAGCCTGAGCTTTTGGCACACGCTTGTAGTATCAGCTACTAGGGAGGCTGAAGCAGGAAGGTCAGTTGAGCCTAAAGATTTAAGACCACACAGTGAGAACCAATGGGTAGGTACGGAGTCATTTTTACCTGATGTGCAGCCATTAAAAAAGGATGACAATGGAGGAGCTCTATCCGCTTCTGTGGAAAGGTGACATAAATGATGCAGAGCCCTTTAATTGAAAAAGTTGTATGCCTGAAAGCCCCTTTAGGAGTTTATCAGAAGTACTAAATACTCATTTTGAAATTTTCTTTCTTTCTTTAGGAAGATGTCTGATGACTTTTCGGTAAGTTAATATTTTTATCCTTGATGAAAGTTTTATTTTTGAAGAACAGCCCTGTCGGTAGGCCACTCATGTTTTTGCGGTACTGGGGATCAAACTCAGGACCCTGTGCATGCTAAACAATGGTCTACCATTGAGCCGCACCCCAGCTCCTTCCAAGTCTTATCTTATTTATTTATTTATTTTTCCAAGTCTTACAATTTAAAAAGATGCTTTTTGTGGTGCCTGGATTTGGGGAACATGCAATTTTGATAGATGGTTTTCCTTTACTTATATAGAGGGAGCATATTAGAAAATGTACCTGGAAGTACATGAGAAGCTTGAAATGAACAGTGTCAGTGTGACCCTGGCTTACATTATAGCTATAATAATCCACACGGCTCCGCGTGGAGTGCCACGGGTCAGCAAGCCCCAACCTCAGAATGCGGCGGCTCAGGTGCGGGCCTTGCCGAACCTGCAGGCCTGCCTCAGATTCCGAGCTGACCAGAAGCTGCTCCCGGTTCCTGCACGCACTCGATCCTGCCTACAGAGATCGCGCCACAGGGTTGTGGATGTGTGTGCAGAGGCACTGTGCTTCTACCCTAACCCTAATCCCAGCGACTGCCCTGTGCACCCAGCGCTTAGGCCGAGGCCTCCTATGAACGCGCCCCCTGCGGGGGGGCGGTGAGACAGGCGAAACACCTCTTGTCTTGCAGTTGGCAGATGCGCTCCCCGATCCCTCCCCCGCCAAAACCTCGGCCGTGAGCAGCTCGAAATCCAGCCAAGCCACCCAGGGCTGGGCCAGCTCCAGCCCCTGGAACAGCCCCAGCGCCCCTGCTTCCCTGCCGGCTGGACCCCCGCCAAGCGCGACGCCATCCACCGTGCCTTTTGGAGCTGCGCCCCCAGGAATGTACCCATCTGCACCGCCTGCCGGGCCACCCCCAGGCCCCCCTGCGCCTTTTCCGCCCTCTGGACCCTCATGTCCCCCACCTGGGGGTCCTTACTCCACCCCCACAGTGCCAGGCCCAGGCCCCACGGGGCCGTACTCCACACCAAATGTGCCCTTCCCTGAGCTCCCCCGGCCCTATGGTGCACCCCCAGACCCAGCCACCGCAGGGCCCCTGGGGCCGTGGGGCTCCATGTCTTCTGGGTCTTGGGCGCCAGGCATGGGAGCGCAATACCCAACTCCTGGTATGCCCTACCCTTCCCCAGGGCCGTATCCCACACCTCCCCCCCAGGCGCCAGGCACAGCACCACCTCCCGTGCCCTGGGGCACTGTGCCACCCGGGGCCTGGGGACCACCTGCCCCATACCCCGGGCCTGCAGGCTCGTACCCCACGCCTGGACTCTACCCTACCCCGAATAATCCTTACCAAGTGCCTTCGGGACCTTCTGGTGCTCCACCGCTGCCTGGCGGCCCCCACGTAAGTCACTTGTTACCTCTGCTGGGCAGCTGAGCCTGTCCCCTCCCCCATTCTGGACAGAAGGTTAGGAAGCTGCTAGGAGTGGGGGTGTATGAGCTTGCAGACTTGAGGAACAGCATTTAAAAGTATGAGAGCAGAGGTGTTCCTGGTACTGAGTACAGAAGGGAGAATTTCCCAGGATCCCAAGCCTATGCAGTAGAGATTGGACCTGGACGGTGGCCTGAGGCCTTCCGGGAGGTGCGAGTCCCTGGTTTTTCCATTCCTGTGAGTTTTCTAATACATCTGATTAGGGCATCACAGTGACACACAGGTCAGTAGAAGGCAGTCTCTGCCTGTGAGGGTGATGGAGATTTCCAGAGGCCCTTTGCAGCGAGCCTCCCAGCTGCTGCCCAGCTGCAGTTTTGTTACATTCTTGGCAGCCTTGGGCTGCCTTGCACTGCTATTCTTGATGGCCCCTTTAGGAGTCATGCGCTCTGTCCCCACAGCTGGAGTCGGATGGACAGTTAGGTTGAGGCGCCTGTCTGCAATGCTGTAACAGATTAGAAAAGCTTCTTAGGAAAGCTAAGTACATGTGTAAACACAGTCAGCACTTCTGCTTAGCCGAAAAGATCTGTTAACTCTAAGAGTTAAGAAGCTAATCTAGGGGCTGGGGATTTAGCTCAGTGGCATAAGCACCTGCCTTGTAAGCAGGCAGTCGTGAGTTCGATCCCCGGTACTGATTAAAAAAAAAAAAAGCTAATCTACAGCAGTTTTAAGGAAAAACAACCTGAAAGGATCCCTAAAACCTTGTTATTATAAATTGTTTATATGTCTGTTCTCTAAAAAAAATTTTTTTGCTGGGAGTGGTGGTATTTGCCTGTAATCCTTAGCATTTGGGAGGCTGAGACAGGAGGATCACAGCTAGTTCAAGGCCAATTGGGCTATATAGTAAATTCACTGCCAACCTGAACTGCGTAGCAAGACCCTGCCTCAAAAAAAGATTTTATTTTTATTTTGTTATTCTTTATTGTTTTTGTTTGCAAAGTGTATACCAAAATAAATGAAATAACTTGCTGTTTGGATTAGGAATCAGCACTTCTTTTAAACCACAGTGAGGAGTTAAATTCCATTTACAAAGTCTTGCCGTTGATTTCTTTCTCTATTGCAGTCCTACCATTAGGTTAACAATGGAAGAAGAGACAAAGCTTTGCTTTTGGAAGTGCGTGCGTGTACTCACGAATGCGTGTATAAAAGCTTCCCATCTCACTGTTCTCAGAAGGCATTTGTGGAAGACCAGGTCCGCCTCTCCGAAGATGCCTGCCCCGTACTTGGACATGTAGTGCATCGAACGGATACAATCAGATGTAAACATAGCAGTAAATCAAGCAGATGTGATTTTTATTTGGTTTTTGTGGAAAGTTAAAGTGATTATATTGAATAGCTATTTGCTAAAATTTGTTTAAATTATAACTATACACTTAAAATGTAAAATAGGGATTATTGTTGAAGTAATTTGCCATTGAATTGTAGATTCTAGGTATTTTTCTATAACCTCTTCCTCCATAAATAATTATGAAAACAATCACATTTTATTCTAAACACATGATGTGTCTCAGCATTTTGAGCTGCTCTGTCTATAAGGTGAATAACTAGTCCTCTTTGGGTTATATTTTGGATATACCTTTTAAAACTGGTTGTCAAATGTCAGGTTTATTAGCAACTGTTCGTTCTTATCTTGGAGCAGTTTGTAAAAACCTGCGTTTCGTTTATGCCATGTGGGTCGCAAAAATGTGCCATTTATGAAAACTCTGCTCGGTGCTGGTGACCAAATCCAGGGCCTTGCACATGCCAAGTAAGTGCCCTGTCTCGGGGCTCCCTGTCCGTCCTGACTTCCCCCTTTAACGCCAGCCAATGTACATTACTGCCTTCTTAGAGAACCATGCTACGCTGTGCAGTGGATGGCGAAGCGTGTATTACTTTGGGGTGAGCTCAAAGAAAGAATTTTGTCTTTTGTTGTAAACCGTAAACAAGCCCTAGGAATTGCTTTTCGTTCTTGCCCGACCTGAAGTGGACCTTGTGCCAGGCCTTACCTGCGGCCTCCCACCCTCACCAGGTCTCCCTGGCCCGGAAGCTGGGGCGCTCTCGGGCCCTGTTATTACAGAGCGGCCATGCTTAGAGTGACCCGAGTGAGTCAGGCCTGGCACCCTCTTTGTGCAAGAAGAGTCTGGGTAAGCAATAGCACTGTCCTTGCATGGTTTCCAAAATCTGTTCGTAGTGTTTCTGGCTGACAGTTCGGTTCTTTGTTGACAGGCAGATAAATAGATCATCTTTGAAAAGATCATCCAGAGTTCTAACACTGAAAACAGTAAGCTGTAGGTTCCCACGCTGGGCTTAGGCAGTGTCACTGTGTGGCTTGAGCAGTCGATGCTGTTTCTAACTGCAGTACCACCTGGTTAGCTTTCCAGCACCTGCCTCAGAGTCAGTCTAGATTTGTGATGGACTTGACCTTGTTTCATCAAATTGAATGTTGAAACCATGAATGTATCCATTGGGTCCTTGAAAGTATTGTGAAATTTCCAGATAGCTATAAGAAAACATTTATGCTGAAGATGTTTTTATTCTGAAATAAGATGTCCCGTGGTTCACTTCTCCTAAGATTAAAATAGCAGTTGCTGCCCATACAGTGGTGTGACAGCTGCCTCCTTTTAAGAGGGTGAGATGGCCACCTGTGAGAGGGACACTTAGCATGCACTCAGGCCTCGCTTCTTTCAAGTAGAGGAGAGATCCAAGCTTTCAGAAGGGACCAATGTGGAGACTCGCTTCGGTCATTCCCACAGTGAAATGTCCTTCGGCAGGTCTTACACAGTGCAGAATTGGATGGGTTCCTTTCACTTCGCAAGGACAGGTGGTAGCTGTTGGTGACACCCGGAGCTGGGGTCAGCAGCTGCCTGTCTCAGGACAGGTAACCTGAGGGCTCCCACGCAGCTTAGATTACCTGTTACTGTCAGAACGCCCGTTAGCTGGAGGGTAGGAGGGTAGGGAAGACGGCAGGGGAGAGGCTCTGTGGGTCATGACTGCCCTGCCTTGGGGTATGTTAGCCTCTCTGGCTTCAGATGCAGGATTTAGTGTAACACTGAGGACACAGAAAAGGGGAGGTAGAAGGTGTGGGGATCCATAATCAAGGAATCCATTGATAACAGGAAAAAATCTTTGTGCCAAAGGATTTATAAACCCAAGATTTGAGAAGTTCCAGCCAGGCATGCAGAGTGACTTGGCTGGTGACCTGAACCACCCAGCCTTTGCCCATTAACTGCCACATGAGCCATTGGCCTTGGGGCTTGTGCTGACACCTGCTGGCCCCTGCGCTTAGCTTCCTGCCCGCCCTGTAGCCTGGGGTCAGGCTGGCGGAGACCATCCCAGACCTTACAGCCCCTCTGAGCCCAAAAGTGTGTTTATTTGCAGCGTAAAGTCAAAAGCAAGTGTCAGTGGATAGATGGGACAATGCATCCAGGAAAGCCCCCATTTCCAAAGGAGCCACACTGGGCTGTGATTGGCTTGTGAGAAGCACGTTGGCCGCTCTGTTCAGTCTTCAGATGACTGTTCTGACATCAGGGTGTTCGAGTGGTTGAGATCACCCGTGTTTCTCAGGTTAGGTTCTTAGGTTTTGAAGTGTTGAACCCCAAAGTGACCATGCAGGTGAAAGTGAAGCGTAGTCACCAAGTCCCCATTCACACTTCTCAAGATGAAAAGGAATCCGCTGTGGCACCTGTGGCCCCTGTTGAGCACGGTGACAGCACAGTCCTGGGGCAGGTCAGGTCCCCAGGAGCTCCTGGCTTAGCTGGCCAGTGCTGTGCCATCCCTTTCCTGGAGAGCCAAGCAGAGGAAGCGAGGCTGGGCACCACGGATGCGAACCCTTTCCAGGAGGCGGTTGCCCGAGACACCGTGGCCTCGCAAGCGGGCAGTGCTGCACGCTCCGCGGGTTAACCACAGACCAGCTGAGCACCCGGAACTCCCTGGAAACTGCTGTGATACTCAGCTCGGCAAAGCAGTGTGACCGCGGCCCCTCCCTCCTGCTCAGAATGCTGCCCACACCAGAAGCGGAAACGGAGCCACCGCTGCAGTAAAAACGCCCGCCTCTGGCTATGGGGACACTGAGGACCTCACTCAGCGGGTGCGAGGTAGAGAGGCCTGTCGAGGACAGGGACGGGAGCAGCCAGGCACACGGGCCCAGATTTCTGAGCTCACAGTAAGCAACTGTCCACGCGGACCAGCAGAAGAGTGGGCTGTTACCACCACCACCACCCACCCCTCCCACCCCACCCCCACCAGCGGTGTGCTGGTGGCCTGGGCCTTGCCATCTACGGGTTGGGGATCACAGCAGACTTCTTATGTGTGCTCTGTTATTATAACAGTTTCATAAATTTTTTTTTTTTAATTTCTGGAAGTTGTGATTTTGTTTTTCATTGACTTAATGATAACAGATTTAATGTATGTAACCGTCTATGCATTTTAAGCTACACTGCCAGAAATGATTGGATTGGAGACCCACTTGTTTGTATTATGAACTGTAAGGCAACTTTGCCATGTTAGGTTTATTACCTGCTGCTGTATTTGTAAACAAAGACAAGTGTTGCTTTAAGAAGTCATTATAATTAGGAACAGACTATAGATGTCATACTTGATATTTTTGAAGATAAACTTGTTTGCTTTTGTGTACTCCACCTGAAAGCTTTTTTTAAAAATGTATTTTCATGGTTTCGTGGTTTTGCCATGTATTTTGTTCACCAGACCAGTTGTGGGCTTTCATTTTGGTTTGGTTTAGTTTGATTTGGTTTGGTTTCTTTGAAACAGTCTTGCTGTTTCAGGCTGGCCTCAAACTCGTGACTGTTCTCCTGCCTCAGCCTCCCAAGTGCTGGGATTATAGGCATGCACCACCACGCCCAGCTCAATTCTGGGCTTTCTAAGGCAAGTCCAGAGCCTCATTACTCATTACTTCAAACATTGGGTCATAAAGAAAACAAAGGAGCCAGGTGTGTTGGCACATGCCTGTAATCCAGCACTAAGGCTGAGGCAGGAGGGTTGACACGACTTCAGGTCCAGCCTGGAGCACATAGGGAATTCAAGACCAGCTGAAACTGCATAGTGAGTCCATATCTGGAAACATAAAAATAAGAAAAGGACCTGTAATACCTCCTTGTGTGTGACTGACATTCACTAAGAAATTGAAATAGGGTGCCTAGAAAGAGCCCTTCCAGGGGCACCCGTTGGGCAGTGTGGTGTCTGGTAGGATGGTTGCCTCTCCCTGCAAGGTGAGACTGCATTAACCAATCACCTGCAGGTGTGCAGTCCGCCCACCCCTCTGCCCTCACCCCAGCTTCTGTGATGAACTGCAACTGCTTTGGCCCCAGCTGCTGCACTTTCAGGGTGGGTGGAATCCAGCCTGCGGTTGCTGACTGCTTCCTTTGCAATTTGAGTTCTCTGGCCTTTCCCAGAACTCCAGGACAGTGAGGCTAAGAAGGTTTGGATGCCAGCATGGCGGTACACACCTACATTCCCAGCCCTCGAGGCTGACGCAGGAGCCCAATTTGGGCTACCTTGGAAGTTTGAGGCTAGGCTGGACCATACAGCTAGACCCTGTCTCAAACAAAAATAAGTTAACCTGCAGTAATTCTACTGTTGGAAGAGGTTTTTTCCTTTTTCCCTTATAATTGAGCACTACGGAACTGTGAATTTTAAAATTGTAGTTGAGGTCACATCCCTATCTTCTCCAAGCACCTCCCTAACATGAAGGTAAGAAATGGAAATCGAAAGCCCTTTCCTGAGCAGGTCCAGTGGGGTTTTGTCTGCTGGCCTTTGTGCATTGCCCGAGCCCTGAGCACACCTGAGTCTCTTGGCCCAGGCATCCATCTGCTCACAGCTGGTGTGTAAGGTGACTCCAAACCCTAACCGATAGTTCACTTCGAGTAAGATATCAGTGGGATCCCAAGGCCCGAAGAGATGAGGCCTCCCCTAGTTTGTTCCCATGCATTCAAACCCAGTCTCATATTCATACAAATTGAGCCGGAAAGAAGCAAATAAGCAGGGGTTAGGGCGGTCTCACTTTCTCTAGAGCAGCTGTACGCTCCTCATCAGGAGTGGAGTGAAGGGCTGGGAATTCAGCTCAGTGGCACAGCACCTATCTGGCAGGACTGAGGTCCTAAATATGAGTCCTTATTCCAAAAAAAAAAAAAAAAAAAAACATGCCTATAAATTCTAGCTTTAGGGAGGCTGAGGCAGAAGCGTCCCCATGATTCGAGGCCAGCCTGGGCTATATCAGTGAGACTATCTCAAAAAATGAGTGGAGGGGTCTTGTTGATGTCCATGTCTCCAAACTGAGGTTTGCTTAAGTTGTCACATGTCCTCAAGAGTCCTGGGCTGCCCAAGGCACCAAGCCGCACTTGCCTGTGAGCATCAGATAAGAAAAAGGAAACCGAGATGTTCTTGCTGTGGTTGTGTTTTGCATTGGATCTCATGTTGTGTAATGGTGCATGCCTTCAGGGAGGTAAGTAGATTTAAAGAGCAGCCTCTTTATTAGTGTGTTTTTTTTTTTCTTTGTTAGTATTTTGAGACAGTCTCCCTGGCAGCAATCCTCCTGCCTCAGCCTCCTAAGGGCTGGGACCAAGGCCTGAGGCACCACACCCAGCTAAGACATTTGTTTGCCCTCATTTATAGTTGATGACACCAAGGCGGGGTGGTTGGAGAGAGCACAGCTCCCGCATGGGGTGCAGCGGGGATTAAAGTCCTGGGTGTGACCCGCACCTGAGTCATCACAATCCCAGAAGCAGGGTGGTCAAAGCCCTGGGTCAGCATAGGCTGTGGGTTTGGGACCTTTGTGTGGGGAGCGGTGAGGGGCAGCATCGATTGTCCAATGAAGGAGAGGCCAGGCCCAGAGGTGCCACTGCACACAGAGGAGGGCTCTGTTCACAGCGGGTGGGCAGCCAGATGGACAGGAAGGGGGGGGCGCAGTTCTTGTTTTAAACTGGCCAGAGCACGCTGCGCTGAGGGCAGAGGTCTCTGCTGTTGCTCAGTCCCATCCTGCAGCCCCCCTCTCCCCCCACCATGCCTCTGATGATTGCGATCTTACCCAGGCTCCTCTGCGAGTAGGACAGACACCAAGTGAACCAGCACTTAAGCCCCAGGGGTTCTTCCCCTGCAGGGCAATGGGTTTCTGTCCCTGCCTGAAGGCATCACAGCCTTCTGGGTTCAGAGAGCAGCTCAGTTCCCCAGGGCTCGCAGTGGAGTCTGTTCTGAGCTGAGTTCCCCCCTAAGGTCTGTTGTGGGGCAGGCAGTGACCTGATCCCTGTGCTCCTTTACCTGACTCAAACAAGTGTCAGAACTACAAAGGCCAGGCATGGTTCGGACACCAGTAATCCCAGCACTTGGGAAGCTGAGGCAGGAGGCTTTGAGTTCCAAGATGGCCTGGACTACGTAGATAGTTCAAACCCAGCCTGCACTGCGAAGTCCCCAGAAGAGAACTACGTGGGAGAAGAACAGAGCATGCTCCCCAGAGGCACAGAGATCTGTCAGGTGTAGTGGGTAACCCTAAGAGTGCTAGGCTAGTCGTCTGTACTCCTGTTTCTTGCCAAAGTCCGATGTCAAGCTTGAGTGCTCAAAGTGACAGCACAGTGAAGGTTTAGCAGCCACCACGGCTGCGCTGTAAGTAGTGGTACCTCCTGGCTTGCCTGAAACAATCATCGCTTGTTTTCAGCATAATTATTAATAACACCCTAACTCCATATGCATTCTCAAAAGTGTCCTGGTTTTAAGACTAAATTCTATAGTTTTTAAATTTTATTTTTGTGGTTTGGTTTTTTTTTTTTTTTTTTTTTTTTTTGGTCTTTTTTTTTTTTTTTTTTGAGACAGGGTCTCGCTGTACACTTCAGGCTGGCCTTGAGCTCACTTTGTAGCCCAGGCTGGTCTTGAACTCACAACGATCCTTCCACTTCAGGCTCCTGAGTGCTGGGATTACAGTCGTGAGCCACCATGCCTGGCTTAAATTTTATCTTGTTTTATTTATTTTGAGGCAAGACCTCATTGTGTAGCCAGGCTGGCCTTGAACTCCAGGTGATCCTCTTGCCTTAGCCTCTTGAATACTAAGATTACAGGTGTGTGCCACTGCAGCTGGCTTGTATGGTTATTTTAAATATAAGGAGAAAGGTGTTTATAGCAGCACAGTTTGTAATAGCTAAATCTTGGAAACAGCCCAAATGCCCATCAACCGATTACTAGATAAAGATGTGAGGTGATAGAATTTTTCAGCATGGAAGAGAACCATCTGATAGGATTTTGGCACGGCTGAGAAGATAAGAAATATGAAATATAAATGACCTTTATTTTAAGAATGTGGAGAGAGACCCCTGGGTTCGTTTATAAAGGTCATTTGTATTTCATATTATCTTTTCAGCCACACCAAAATCTTATCAGATGGTTGCCTTCTGTGCTGAAAAATTCTATCATAAGGTTTTTTATGTAATGGAGTACTACTCTGCCATAAAGAAGAATAAGCTGGAGATACTTGTAGCTAAATGGATGCACCGTGAGGCCGTTCTCTTAAGTGAAATATATTGGACACATGTAAATACCACACTTTTTCTCTGGTGTGAGAAGTCAAAAGGATAAATAAGGAACAGAATGTGTAATAGATCTTGTGAAATAGGAAGAAAATGTTCAAATGGGAAAGGGAACTGGGGTGAGGGAATGAGAAAAGAAGGAAAAAAATGGAAACAAAGCTGTTGTAAATAAGGAAGGGGGAGGGAGGAGAGGGGGAATGAATGTACAGGTACAAATCCCCTAAGATGAGTGTGATCATTATGTGTACCTAAAATGCACCAATCAATTTATTTTTAAAAAATAAATATAGAGGGAAAGCCAGGCACAGTGGTTCACATTTGTAATCTCAGGAGTTCAGAGGCAGAGACAGGAGGATCCTGTGAGTTGGAGGCTAGGCTGATCACAAACCCCTATGGCAAAACAAAAATCAGGGGGAAAAGCTGGGTGTGGTAGTGCACGCCTATAATCCCAGCACTTGGAGGCTGAGGCAGGGGGATCCCCATGAGTCTGAGGCCAGGCCGGGCTGCCCCGTGCCAGGGACAGTTTTGTGTGTTTACCTCAGAATTGCATGCCTCTGAGTCACACATACTCGGTGGCACAGGGAGACACAGTGCAGCCCAGGCCTGGGACCAGGCCTCCTCGCAGCTCCTACAGTGTGTGTGCTTTTTCTTGGGCCTTTGGCTGCTGTGCTCAAACCTCGCCAAGTCCTCAGGAGCCCACATTCAAGTGCTCCTCATTCGTGGAGTGCTGAGAGGAAGGAGCTGTGGGGTTCCTTCCTGGGGTTCTTCGGCAGCAGGCTGAAACCAGAGTAGGGGCACACACCTGTGATCCCAGTCCTTGGAAAGCTGAGGCAAGAGGATCACCAGGAGTCCAAGGCCAGCCTGAGCTACAAGCAAGATCCTATCCCAAATTAGGCAGTGGCAGAGGGAGGAGAAAAAGGACCTGGCCAAAGGAGTAATTGTCCAGTTTTTGGAGCTGGAGGCATAAGTTTTTTCTTTGTGTGTGTGTGTGTGTGTGTGTGTGTGTGTGTGTGTGTGTGTGTGTGTGCCTGTGCTTGGTTTCATTTTGTTTTTTGAGACAGGGTCTTGCTGTGAATAGTTCAAGGTGGCCTTGAGCTCTGTGTAGCCCAGGCTAGCCTTAAATTTGCAGGGATCCTCCTGCCTCGG